GGGTTGACACGGATGCTGCTATCGGAAACCACCGGCATTGGTTGGCGCTGTTCATCCACGAGGTAAGTATGATGAACATCGCGAACATCCTCAGGTGCCGCGTCAGCAAGAGGAATAAACTCCGGAATTCCGGAGGACGTAACAGGGACAGGTGGGTCAGGAACAGCTTCACGTGCACCGTCGGGGTCAGGTTCTTCTCTGGCAGCAAGTTCGGCGTCGGCGCTAGCGAACGAACGAACACCGTGGAAAAGCGTGGCAGGGTTTTGCTGCGTGGCAAGATGTTGTTCGAAGACGGGCAGCGTCAGATTCTCGTAGAAAATACAGTCGCAAGCAGGAACAAGGAGACGACTGCGGTAATCCATGATACGCCAGGCAAGATATTGTTTTTCAATGCCGAGATGCAGCCCCCACTTAGCACGCTGATCGAACTTCCCGAGCGGAGCGGTGGGAGGACGATATTGCACAACACACCCAAAAACTCGAAGAAGTTTCGTAGTGCCCAATTTTCCTGTCCATAACAAGTGAGGTGATGCGTTATTTGGTAACGCCGATGAAGACAGGAGGTTGTGCAACAACGTTGCATGGTCCATCGCGAAGGGCCAGTAGAGTGGACCGAGTTGAGACTGTCTTAGTAGAGCTCGCATCTTTTCGTGCAAAGTACGATTGAGACGTTCAGCGACACCGCTCTGCTGGTGAGCGTGAGGAAGTGAGAACAGGCGCCGTATGCCTCGTTCTTGCAGGTACGATGTAAACTCGAGGCTGCGATATTCCCCAGCTCCGTCACACTGGAAGCTTTTGAGTTTTGTGTCAGACTCGCGTTCTGCGAGAGGAAGCCATGTCTGAAACGCTGTGAAAGCAAGAAAACGGTTAGTCATGTTACCAGTCCAGATATATCGAGTAGAAGCTTCAGTGAACGTGATAACATATTTCTCGCCGTTGAAACCCTCTGCAGGTAAGTTTAGAATATCGCTGTAAACTTTTTCCATCAATCGATAATCCTCAGCTCCAGGAAAATGAGTCGGGAACGGCTCGTGCGGTAGGTTCGCCGCAGGGCAGATGGTGCAGGGTGCCGGGCGATTCACCGGCTTCAGTTCGAGACCGCTCGGTAAGAGTAACGAATTCTTGTCAAGCACTGCAGCCTTGATCGTGTTGTTTAGCGTAAACTGCGACGGATGACCAAGTCGCTTATGCCATGTTTCTCCCGTGGCTTTGTGACCTTGTGCGCGCAGGTAATACTCGGCGTTAGCGAAGAACGACAACAGAAGTTGATGACCATCGGAGCGGATCTGATCGAAAGCAGGTGCGACGTAACGAGTAAGATTTGGTGGTGGAACACGAACCTCAACATCCACGTACTCGCCTGGAGCAAGTACTAACTCGCCGCTTTCTTGATCGGATGCTGCAGGTACAGGTTCAACTCCAACGAGATGACCCGAGTCAAGAATCTCCATATCAGCGACGCGTTGCTCAGCTTCAGCGAGAAGACGATCATCGCGTTCAGCAGGCGTCTCGCCCCAAGTTGTTTCATCGGGTTCGTCAGCCCCCCAGATGCCGTCATCAGTCGGCATGTTCGTCGGATCACCCCAACCTTCAACAGCAGCCATGTACTCCCGGGAGGACTGAACATCATTCAAGCCTTGATCGTCGAAGGTCAACATGACGGCGGCAGCCGTGGTTGAAGACGTCGGGACAACTCCCTCACGTGGAACTGTATCGTCGGTGTAATCAATGTCGTCGCGATGCTCCCAAGGACCAAGCGAGAGAATGTTATCAGAGTCGGCAGTAGCGCGCTCAGGTATGAAGTTCAAAACAAAAACACCGTTTTGCTCAACTGCCGTGCCGAGTTTCTTGTCGCCGTACTTCAGAGTGAATTTCCCAGGTTCACCGAGAAGTGTAATCCCGTTCTTCATGAGCTGTGCAGATGACATGAGGTTGAAGCCAAGCCGAGGGACCAGAAGAACTTCGTTCAGGTGAAGACTAAAGTCTTCTTCAACTGAGTCCAGAACGATGCTTCCCATCCAGTGAGCTGTAAGCCGTTGGTTATTGGCGACCGTGACGACAACGGGATTCTGCAGACGGCGTTGATTCACAATGAAACGAGTCTCTGACGAACCCATGTGCTGACCGCAGCAACTGTCGAGGTACCAAGTATTGGGACCTGCAATAGTATGTGCAAGATTTGCATAGACCTCAGGTGGAATCGGTGTGTTGAGTTCGTTGTTGAACCGGTTGTGAATCCGTTCTTCAGCATCAGGATCATAAACCGTTGAAACTGATGTCATGCAGGTAATAACTTGCTTTGACTGTGTCTTCGCAGGGTCCGGCTTCGCAGAATTCAGCTTCGCAGCGTCCGGCTTCTCAGCTTCCGGCTTCTCAGCTTCACTTGAAGAATCTTTGGTATGTTTCGATGCAGACCGCTTCCAAGATGGTTTGTCTTTCGACCAGCAGGTATCAATAGTGTGTCCTGTTTTTCGACAAAAAGAACAGACGGGCTTGTGACGTGGATTAGAATAAAAGCTGACTGTATTGTTTACCACCTTTTTCCCTCCTCGAGCGTTGTGCAGGTCCATATCCTGCTGCTCGGCGATGAGAGCGGCACAGAGTGCCCCCTCGGACAACTGTGCTTGCATCCGAAGTATAGAGCGACACTGTCGCCATTCTGGTCCAAGACCCGCGAGTAGCACCGTGTGAAACATAGCGTCGGGGAAGTACCCTCCACACTTCTGAAGTTGATCATGCAAATTTCGAGCGCGGTTGATATACTGCGTCACCTTCTCACCGTTTATCATCTGTATATTTGACAGCTGTGTCAAAATTTTACTCTGGTTGACAGTGTCCTTTGCCATGTGAACCCCTTGCAGGTACAACCAAGCTGCTTCAGCAGGAGCGGCACTGGTACGAAAAGAACGAATTCCGAGCTGTTCAGTCGGTGTCAGATTACGAACGAGAACTGTGTATGCAGTCAGCGACGCCGATCGAAAAGTGGCTTGTTGAAGTGGTGACCCGTGAGATGGAAAGGGTGCTGTGCCGTCATACAGCTGCCAGAACCCCGCGGTCTGAACAAGAAGCTCAAACTCAAAGCTCCAGGTATAAAAGTCATGACCGTTAAAAGGCATTGTTGTTTTGATTTTCGTTGGATTTGCAGAAGCAGGAATATAATTTCCGGTCCCGTCAGCTGACTGTAGCTGATAAAGTGATGGCACTTGTGACCCTTGTAGTGTTTGTTGTCCTTGTCCAGCAGGACCAAAAGAGAAAGAGTTGTTCGACCCATCACTTCCTTGTGGCATCTGACCATGCTGATAACTGGAGCCATCAATGCTCATAGGAGTTGGAAACATCTGGTTAAGCGACAAGACGGCAGCATTAACACGTTGTTGAAGATTTGCTGGCTGGTAAGCACCTTGATATTGGTAAGGTCCAGTCGGTACGAAGTTGGACTGTTGTCCCGGTTGACAAGAAGAACCAGTGACTGCAGCTGCAGCTGTTGTAGCTGCTGATGCTGCTGTTGCTGCGGCTGCTGTCGATGATGCCGCTGCTGTAGTTGCGTGTACGGGCTGATTGCTCAATGGCATGCCGTACATCGGTTGTTGCTGATATTGTTGTTGTTGTTGCTGCAGATGTGAATTATCAGCAGCTGGAGACGCTGTTGGGCGTGATGGGCTCGTAACAGAAGAGCCATTGTTGGACCTTGGAGATCCAGACATAGTTGTAGAGTAGACAGGTGGAAGCTGTTATAATCCTAAGTGGCTCCCATACCATGTTAGAATTTAAGTTGTCTGAATAGGATCGTAGTCTTAGGATAGTAGCTTCCTGTTGCAGTGGAAGTCTTATATGAGTGACTTGTAACAGGATGAATATCTCTGAAATCAAGTATATTAAGAAATGACAAACATGCAGAATATATACTAGGATAAAATACCTATTCGCCTAATGTACCTATTAGCCTGAAACGGTACGAGACTATTCGCGATACCTACAGCTACTGCTGACGTCATCCTAGGGCGCGTAGCGCTTTGCTGGCGTCAGCCTATCGGTACTTTTACTGTACTAACTACACTACACGAATTCCTTGAAGTGCACAAGTCTCGATATTATCTCAACAAGAACTACCCCGCTACAGCCTAGATAGACTATAGCATATATGTTTGACAACCCTTTCGCTCTCTCTCGTTCTTATGTGTAGCTACATTTTGTATACAGATTTACTGTACATATACAGAAGCAGAATTTTGTCTGCTCAGATGTATCAATATATAATTGCACACCCATTAGTTTGTATCCACATTATCTGATCCGCTTATATTGCATTTCATCAGATGAGGATCTTCGATTATCCACAGCCATGATGCAGCCAGCCTATCCATGGCGGCCTGTCACGTCATGTCAAGCACTAGCGACGGTCCATTTGAGGCGCCGTCGACTACATCCGTCCCGTCGTTTCTATTTCCCCGCCTCTCTGCTTCCCTGCCTCCTTGCCGCTCCCTTGCGCCTCGAATCCAACCCAGATGCCTCTCACACCTTGTGACGGGACTAAAATCCAGTCGCACCGACTTGCGAGATCGCACGTGCGATCTCCGCCGTCGGATTGCACAGATCGTCCCTGCGGTCGCGACCGTGACGAGATGGAAAGAGCGAGTGAGCGAGCAGCTGGGCGTTCCTCCGCATCTGCAGCCGATTCGTTCCATCCCGCTCCGCGCGTTTCATCAGCCGAATACTTCTACGCGTTCTCCTCTCGTCAAGGGAGGTGCCCAGCGCGACTCTCCGAGAGTGCGAGAGTCTATGTTCCCGAACGGCAAGAAAGAGGCAGGTATTGATTTGCAGAGGCTGGAAGTTGTTTTCCCAGGAGCTGTAACAACTTTTTTTAGAGAATCGAAAGCTCCTGTGGGGAGGCGCGAGTATCCGCTTGACAAGCCACGCAGCAAACGAGAGGCGCACCCCTTAAGGCGCAGGCTTGTTGCTCGCTGAGACCCCGCCTTGGCTGTTTGAGACGTCTCGAGTGAATGGCTTTCGCCGCGACTGTGATCATGCGCCCTCTGCGGGTGCTGATTCTTCCGTTGCGGCAGAGCAGACGAGTGCTCGCACCAGCGCCCTGCACGTTGCTGCCCGTGCTGCTGTCTACTCTGCTGCTGCTCGCGACTGTTGGCTTTGCGGCCTCTCTGGAAGCGCAATCGCAGCGTTCAGATCTCCTGCACAGGCCTCCTTATGTGAGTCACTCTCACAGCACCATCCTGCTCTGTCAAGTCAAGTAACACGTACCTACCCGCTCCCATGTTGCAACTCAGTTTTCTCGCTGTCCTCTGTGAGTGAAATCCGTCATGCTTGAACTCTTAGGCTGCAGCAATAACAACCTGCTCTATTGGGTACACTTTACTCACCCGCTTCCACTTAGCAACTCATCTGCAGCGCAGTCTTTGTGCACTCACTCACTCGCACAACCTCATCAATAAATTCTCTCAAGTGTTTCTCACTATATCTTTCCTGCCATGCAATCCCGCTCTCCTCCCTTGTCTCGCCCCCCCCTCCCCGCCCGTCCGCCCGTCTCCGCCCCTTGTCCCCACTTGCTCCCCTCTCTCCTCTCTGCAGTCCCTTGTGCGCCTCTTTTCCCGCCCATCCCCCTCCCCATCACCCACCTGGCTGGCCCCCTGGCAGCACAGGGAGCACGCGCAGGGCAGAGTGCTTCTAGGGGAGTCGGGGCATGTGCTGACGGCGGCTCTACTGCACCATACTGCTGTGCATGGGTGTGATGCTGATGTGAGTGCATGCATGGGTGTGATGGTGATGTGAGTGCATGCATGCATGCCAGCCACGTATCATCAAACAAACATACCCGCTATTGCAGCGAGCTACACCTCATTGAATTTATGGATTTGAGCGATGGGAACATCAAGCTGTGTGGGACCAATCCAACCTATTGCATGAACACAAAGTCACTTCTGCAGTGGATGTGGGTGACGTGCAGTAGGTTTGGCTGGACCCACATAGCCTGGTGTTCCCATCACATCCCTCCCGCCCTCACAAGATATCGATTGAAGTTCTTTCTTAGTGTCGCATAGTATGTAGCCAGTGCCACTTTCCCGTAAAATCTATCCCATTTCCGTTTCCTCCTTTCTCTCCCGCACTCCTCCTCACTTCTCTCTTCTCCTACCTGCCCTTCTTTCCGTCCCCCCCTCCCCCTTCCACCCTTCCCCCTCCTCTCTCCCCCGTCCCTCTCCCCCACCCTTTTCCCGCCCCACCCACAGCATGCCACATACCACATGCACCAGCGCCACCGGGACAAGCACCGCATCCTCACAGCCTTTGCCCCCCCGCTGCCCTCAGGAGCAGCAGCAGCAGCAGTAGCAACTGCTGCAGCTGGTGCGCGCAGACTGCAAGAGTCGCCTGCAACAGCAGCAGCAGCAGGTGCAGCTGCCAAAGGCATTGCAGCGTTTGTCCTGGGAGGCCGAACCATCCCATATGGGTAATATGAAGGGCGTATGGAGATGACTGAGATGACTGGGTGGGTGGGTGGGTGGGTGGGTTGGTTGGTTGGTTGGTTGGTTGGTTGGTTTATGTGGGGATGATTCTGCATGAGTTTGCCTTGAGACGTCGCGACATCTGATGGCAGGCAGACAGGCAGCATTTGGTTGGACGGATGCGCTTTTTCAGACCCATGTATATGAGGGCGGTGCTGTCTGCGCTTCCCCTTCTCCTTACCTTGCTTCTTCACCCTTCCCGTCACACTCCCTCGCACCCCCTTATTCCTGCCTTCCTGCATCTTCATCACCCTGAGCATGTCACTCTCATCGTCTGCTTGTTGCTCCTCCTCCGTGGTAATTTGTGAGTCACCTCTCAAGAATCCCCCAAGCCCTCTCTCCCCACCGTCCCTGCCCCAGGCTGTACTATTTGAACGTGTCGCTCTCATCGCCTGAGCGTTCCTTCTCTGTCGTCTTTGACACAGGCAGTGACATGTTGTGGGTGCCCTGTGACTGCATCCAGTGTGCCACCGACTCCTCCCTCGTTGTAAGAACAACCACTTCACCACTTCCTGTAAGCACAAATAGTCATGGTAAGAACAACAAACTCTCGTTACTACACGTCGTTATTCCAATTTGCGCTGCAGCAGCAGTAACTACCGCCCTTGTCCCCTTCTCCTTCTCTCCCCTCCCTTTTCCCCCGTCCAGCCCCTGAGCGCCCCCTACCGCCCAGAGAACTCGCTTACTGCACAGCCCGTCAGCTGCAGCAGCCCTCTCTGCCCCACCGGCCGCCCCAACATCGGCTGCGGTGTCTCCCCCAACCTCACCCGCACTCCCACCACCATCTCCCGCTCTGCTCAGCCCGGTTCTCCCACCATTGTGGTTCCAGAGCCTCTACCGCTCTCAACCTCCTCCAATGCCTCTGATTCTCTGATGGGCTCACTACCACTGGCTGCTGCTGCTGATTGGCCCTCTCCAAGTGATACGTGTCAGTATGTGATTCGCTATGGGGATGGCAGCAGCACGGAGGGGACTTTGGTGACTGATGTGATTAACCTGAGTGTGACGCAAGCGGGGGCGGGCGCAGTGGCAGCTCCCACGTCAGCGTCGGCTGTGCCAGGTGGCGGTCAGCCATTGGAGGGGTGGGCAGGGAGTGGGCGCAGCGCTGTGAGCCCACGGGTGCTGTTTGGGTGAGTGGAGCAATATGGTGCAGTAACGTGTTTATGGATGTCTCATGTCATGGAATGATGTCACATGGGATGATGTCACATGCGATGATGTCACATGGCATGATGTCACATGGGATGATGTCACATGCGATGATGTCATATGGAATGATGTCACATGGCATGATGTCACATGGCATGATGTCACATGGAATGATGTCACATGGAATGATGTCACATGGAATGATGTCACATGGAATGATGTCACATGAAGTCCTATCCCGTGGCATGATATCACTTGGCATGAATTTTGGGTGAGTGAGCAACATGGTGCAAGCAAGGTTGCTGATGCCCTCTCCTCCTCCACCACCCTTTCCCCCCCCCAGCCCTTTGCTGCTGCTGTGCCCTTCGTCTCCATTCACTCTCCCATCGGCCGCCTCCTCCTCCTCTTCCCCTGTCACACCCACATGTGCCCTTCAGTCTCCCCTCTCCCCCTATTCTGTCCGCACGTTTTTCAACAACCCCTTCTCAGAAGCTGTTGTCGACTCGGAAGCCAACTCTTGCACCCAACCCCACCCCTCTTTCCCCATTCCGCACCCCTTCCATCCCCCAAACGACCAGTTTCTCACCCCTTCAGACCGGCACGCGCATCAGCAACCCCTTCCCATGGGCTTTGGCTCTTGCACCTAGCCTAGCCTCACCCCTCATTCCGTCTTTCCCCATCACCGTATGTGGCCTCCTCTCAGCTGCTCCTCTCTGCAAACGGGCACCCTCATCAGCACAGCAGCCCCTTTTCAATGGACGGCCTCTTGGGCTTTGGCTCTTGCACCTGCTCATCAGCAGCCCTTTCCCACTCCAACCTAAGAACCACCCTCTTCCCCCTTCTTCCATGCGCCCATGCCGTGCCCCATGCCTCTTCCTCCCCCCACCAGCTGCTCGTCCCTGCAGACCGGCACCCTCATCAGCAGCCCCTTCTCGGTGGACGGCCTCATGGGCTTTGGCTCGGGCCCTCGCTCCGTCATCCGCCAGCTCTCCTCGCCATCGTCTCCTCCCTCTGCGGCCTCCTTCTTCACGAATTCATCATCATCCCAAGTGGCAGCAGCAGCAGGCACGGGGGCAGGAGCAGCGCAGCAGGAGGCGGTGATGCCGTTTGCCTTCTCCTTCTGCCTGGACGGGGGGGACACGGGGGGAGGCCACCTGGCCATTGGGCGATCGGAGCAACCTGCCGACATGCAGACAGCAGCGTTGTGGCATGTTGACGGACTGCAAGTGCTGCTGACATTGCAAGTGGCATTGTGTGGGAGGGAGTAGATTTTCCTGCCTGAACGGTGGGAAGGCAGGGGGAGGCCACCTGGCCATTGGGCGGTCGCAGCAACCCAAGGAGATACAGACAGCAGCGCTGTGGCACGTGGATGGACTGTAAGTGCTGCTGACGTGGCAGATGTGGACGTTGTGAGGGAGCAGATCATTATGTACTGTCAGTCAGACAGGCTGTAGCGTTTTTTTCCTCATCATCTGTCACTTGGATGGATCATCATCCAGCACTCAAATACACAGGCTTACTTTATGCTTCCTGTTGACCTAGATGCATCCTGCCACTCGCCTGCCCGCAAACAAACAATCACATGCTCGCTGCATTATCGAAAACACCAACCTTCCATTTCCATTTGTTGTGGACAGTGAAAACGTGGCCTTCTGCACAATCTCTTTCCTGTTCCTCTCTCTCCCCTTTTCCCCTCTCTCCCTCATTCCCCTCTTTTCCACCTCCTCACGTCCCCATTCCCCTCTTTTCCACCTCTCTCATCCCAATTCCCTTCCCTTGCTGTCTTCGCTACACCCCAGCCCATACCACTACATCAACATCACCAATATGAGCATCGGAGGCCGCCAGGTGGCGGGTGCTGATTCGCTGTCAGTAGTGAACGCGGCCAGCCTGGCGGGCGGCGTCATCATTGACAGCGGTACCACCTTCACTGCTCTGCCACCCGCCGTCTACACCTCGCTAAAGGATTCGGTGAGCTGCAGTGGAATGCGGTGAGCTGCGGTGGGGTGAGAAGTGCGAAGGTGCAATGCGGTGAGTTGTGGTGTGGGTGATATGCATGGAAGAATGAATGATTCTTTGCTTGGAAAAGTTTTTTCAGTATGGTCAGGCCAGCAGTGCCACCTTCACTTCTCTGCCTCCTGTTAACAACATGCCCCCTTTTTCCTTGCAGCTATTTTCTTCCCCCCACCCAACCCCCTTTCACCCCCCTCTTCCCACTTCCCTCATACCTCTTACCCCCCAAACCGTAATTCACTGTGCTTGCCAGTGTGAGTTGTTGTCTCTTGTTGTGGTATCGCATGCATGCAGGTGTTCTCCGACCCGCTTCTCTCTGCCTTCGCTGATCCTACCCTTGGGGATTGCACCCTCTTTCCCAGGTGCTCGCACACCACTCACTTATCATTCGTAAAAGTATGATGTATCGAGTATTTTTCCATCAAGCACCTGTTTCTCTGGTTACAGCAGCCACACTGTTGTCGTGTATCAACAATTCTCGGTATGATGTGAAGATTGTGAATTGAACAAGTAATTAGATTAGAGGAACAACCTAGCATACATAGTTGGAAGGGAAGGTTGGAAGGGAAGGATGAAAGTGACCATAGGTTGGGTTGACCTCACTTGGGGAAGTGAGGGAACCATAGGTCAAGTGGGTTGGGTTGCCCACACTTTGTAGAAGTGAGGCAACCCTAGGCCCACTTGGCTTGGGGTAACCTCAATTGTGGGAAGTGAGGTACCCACAAGTCAAGAGGGTTGCATTTGGGGGCTCCACCACAATTGGGTGGATTGGCACCCAAAGTGCAAGACTACACCCAAAGTTGGGTGTAGTCCCAACCCAACTGTACACCACAATTGGTGTACAGTCACATGTGTTGGCATGCTACACAATATATATTTTAACACAACCCCTTAGCATGCTAACACAAGAAGAGAACAACCCCTGAATCAAGGGGCGCCCGGGCGAGCAAGGCCAATGAGGCGGAGGAAGGCAGAGTGCGCGGGGCGAAGGAGGGCCTTAGTGAAGATGTCGGCCAAGTTGGCCTCGGTTGCACTCTTGCGAACGGCAATGAGGCCCTTCTGGACGAGCTCGCGAACGAAGAAGTAGCGGAGTTCGATGTGCTTGGAGCGGGCGTGATAGACGGGGTCCTGAGTGAGATGGATGGTGCTGGCGTTGTCGCACCAGAGAGTGGGGCACATCTGGGGGGCGCCAAGCTCTGCAAGAAGGAAGCAGAGCCAGCGCGACTCCTGGGCGGCCATGGTGCCAGCGTAGAGCTCGGCTTCGCAGGTGGAGAGAGAGATGGCGGAGGAGCGGGTGGAGCGCCAGCTGATGAGGCCGCTGCCAAGGGTGAAGCCGTAGCCCTGGGAGGAGCGGCGGTCCGGCTGCGTGTCAGCCCATGAGGAGTCACTGAAGCCCGAGAGAAGGGGACGGGAAGGACCGCCGAGGGTGAGGGCAAGGTCCCTGGTCCCGCGAAGGTAGCGGAGGACCCGCTTGGCAGCTTTCCAGTGCTCCTCAGAGTGACGACCGGTGCCGACAAAGCGAGCGAGCACGCTGATGGGGTAGGCGAGGTCGGGGCGGGTGCACATCATTGCGTACATCAAGGACCCAACGAGCTCGGCATAGGGGTGGGGGGAGGAGGTGGGGGAGGTGGGTGGAGCGAGTTGGTGACCGAAGGGGAGCGGGGTGGAAACAGGCTTGGCTTGCGCCATGTCGAACTTCTCCAAGACCTGGCCGATGTAATGGGACTGGGAGAGGGTGATTGTGCGAGCAGGGCGGTTGCGCGTGATGGTCATGCCGAGGTAGTGAGTGAGGGCGCCAAGGTCTTTGCACTTGAGCCGCTGCTGCAGGGACAGCTTCACCTGCCCCATGTCGGCCTTGGTGTCAGAGAGCAGGATCATGTCGTCGACATATACCAGAATGAAGAAGCGGCGGGGGGAGGAGCGGATGAAGAGGCTGGCGTCGGAGTGGGAAGCAGAGAAGCCGAGGGACCCCAAGGTGGCAGCAAGCTTCGCATGCCACTCACGCGGTGCCTGCTTCAAGCCGTAGACGGGACGACGCAGCTGCCAGACAGTGTTCTCAGGAAAGGCTGCGTGGAACCCGGGGGGTCGCCGGAGGAAAATGCGCTCATGCAGGTCGCCCTGCAGGAACGCATTGGAGACGTCCATGGAGTCGATTTCCATGTCGTCACGTGCACCAATGTCCATGGCGGCGCGAAGGGTGGGTGGTTTGGCGGTGGGGGCGTAGGTGAACCAGTAGTCCTCAGCCCAAGTCTGCGTGAACCCCTTGGCGCAGTAGCGGGCCTTGTACACTGGTTCCTCGCCCGGCAGCTGCTTCACCCGAAAGACCCATTTGCCGTCAACGAGATTAGCGCCAGCAGGGAGGGGGACATCGACAAAGGAGTCGTTGCGAATGAAAGCCTCACACTCCAGGAAGATCGCTGCTATCCATTTATCCGCATCAGGGCAGGTGATGGCTTCCTGGAAGGTGGAGGGAGTGAAGATGGTGGGGGTAGTAGTGGCGCCAAGGACAGGAAAGCCCAGGAAGTCAAGGTAGAGGGTGGCAAGGAATGGAGTGTGCTCCCGAATGTTAAGAAACTCCTCATGGGAGTCCTCAAGGAGCTGAATGGAGGCAGGAGGAGGAGCCCCAAGGATTTTGTCCACAGAGCGGGTATGGATGTAAGGGAGGAGGAAGGGGGAGGAACGGGAAGTGGCACGACGCCGCTGCTGCTGCTGGTGCTGCGGAAGCTGCTGCCCTTGTTGCTGCGGCTGCGGCTGACCGTGCTGGTGCTGCGGCTGCTGAGGCTGCTGAGGCTGCTGCTGCTGCTGCTGCTGCCGCTGCTGCTGCTGCTGCTGCTGCTGTCCCGGCTGCCGCTGCTGCTGCTGCTGCTGGCCCGGCTGCTGCTGCTGCTGCTGGCCCGGCTGCTGCTGCTGCTGCTGCTGCCCCGGCTGCTGTCCCGGCTGCTGCTGCTGCTGCTGCTGTTGCTGCTGCTGATCCGGCTGCTGGAAGGAGGGAGAGGGAGAGGAGAAGGGAGGGGGGGGAGGGGGTGCGGCCGAGTGAGCGGGGGAAGCGGGTGCGGCAGGGTCGTAGACATCGGCGGAGGAGGAGGGCGGGAGCGGAGCTGCGACGGGTGGGAGGAGAGGGGCTGGAGGGAGAAGGGGCGGGAGGACGGTGTCGGTCCAAGCAAGGGGACGAGTGGGAGGAGGGAGAGGATCAGGGGGAGGAGTGGAGTAATAGGGGACGGATTCGTCGAAGACGACGTCGCCGCTGCGGATGAGGCGATTGGTGGGAGGGTGGAGGAAGAGGTAGCCTGGGGAGTCGCGATTGTCCCCAAGGTATACGCATTCCAGGGCGCGAGGAGCAAGCTTGCCAGCGGCGCGGGAGCGGTCGGCGGGTGGGATGAGAACGAAGGCCTTGCAGCCCTAAACGCGAAGGCCGGCAGCGTCGGGTTTGGCGTTGGACCAAAGCTCTGTAGGGGAGGAGGAAGGATGCTGAGGGTGGGAGCGGAGATTAAGGAGAAGAGCGGTGTGGAGGAGGGCATAGCTCCAGAGGGAAGGAGGGGTGGAGGCATGAGCAATGAGACAGCGAGCTATCTTGGTGATCTCACGAATGCGGCTCTCAGCAATGCCGTTCTGCTGAGGGGAGTGGGGAAGGGTGGAGGTCTGTTGGATGCCGTAGGTGTTGTAGTATGTGGCAAGGGTGTTATTGATGAACTCACCCCCACCGTCAGAGTGAAGGCGGCCGATGGGGCGTTTGAAGTGATTGCGGCACTGTTCGGCCCAGTTGATGACCACTGCCGGCATCTGGTCTTTCGTGTGAAGGAAGAAGGTGGTGGAGTACCGGCTGTGGTCGTCAACGAGGACGAGCATGTACCGATGCCCCTGGCGGGAGCGGATGGGATAGGGGCCCCAGAGGTCCATGTGCACAAGGTCAATGGGGGCGGCGGCGAAGGTGGGATGACTGTGGTGGGGGGACTGTTTGAGCTTGCCGTGAATGCATGAAGGGCATGGGGGAGAGGGGGAGGAGGGGAGGGGAGGTAGAACAGGAGGAAGGCTGCGGAGGAGGCGAGAGGTGACTGTGGTGCGAAGGGCGATGAAGTTGGGATGGCCGAGTCTGTGGTGTAAGAGGACAGCAGGGTGGGAGAGGGTAGTGGAGGAGGAGGGAGATGGGGTGATGGAAGGAACGGGAGGGGAGGAGGAGGATGGTGGGGAGGGAGAAGGGGATACTTGAGGGGGAGGGGAAGGGGGAAGTAAAGGAGGAGGAGGTGGACCGGTGGAAGCACCGGAACGAGTGGTGACGTGGCAGAAGGATGGGCGAGGCGTGCGGAGTGTGTAGAGGCGAGTGCGGGGGCAAAGCGGAATGCGGAGAAGGAAGCGACCGGAGGAGGTTTGGTAGAGATCACAGTAATTGGCATAACCGGGGTAAATGGCAGTGATACCAACACCTTGGAGCTCACGGTGGGAGAGGAGGTTGTTGCGGAGAGTGGGGATGTGGAGACCTGTGACCTTACCGGAGGGGAAGGCAGTGCAAGGGAAGGTGGAGAGGTGAGTCCATGGAATGGAAAAGCTGGAATCAGCCCCATGAACCTGAGTGGGAAGTGGTAGTGGGGTGAGAGTGCCAGCGTCTTTCAGTGCGGTTTCAGTGGCTCCACTGTCAAGGACAAAGTCCAGGGTGGGAGAAGAGGGAGGAGGGGGTGGGACGGGGTAGTGAAACGAAGTCTCATTGATAGCAGAGGGATACATGGCAGCGACGGACGGTGCAACACTGATATTACCAAGGAAACTACCAGAAGTGTCGGGAACACTGGGGGGGGCAGAGGGGAGGGAACCCCAGGGGGGAGGAGGAGGAAGGGAGGTATGAGCGGCCATGGCCGCTGTGCCGAAGGTGAGTGGCTGCTGCTGCCAGGGTGGGGGAAGGAACTGCTGCTGCTGCTGCGGCGGTGACTGGAAGAACTGCGGCGGCGGCGGCTGCTGGGGCTGGAGAAACTGCGGCTGCTGCTGCTGCTGGTGGAAGTACAGGTGCTGCTGCTGCTGGTGCTACTGAAACTGCTGCAGCTGTGAGGGTGGGGAGGGGGTAACCATGCGGAGGTGAGCAGGAAGGAAAGAGGGGAGGGTTTGAATATCCACTAAGGAGGGGCGAGGTGTGACCGAGTTCCAGCGAGGAGGGGTGCCAGTGTCGCCGCGATCAAACCAGGCGTCGTCGAGTGCCTTAAAGCACGTGGTGGGGGGATGGTTGGTCTGGCCGCAAGGGGTACCTGCATGGGGACCATGGCGACGCACATATGTGCATGGGGGGAGAGTGCCAGGGCGTCCGCCTCGAGTCAGAGCACCTCCAGCAGGGGCGCTGCCAGCACCACCACCACCGCCACCACGGCCACCACGGCCACCACTACCACCACCGCCACCACCACGGCCTCCACCACCACCACCGCCACCCGCTCCACGGCCTCCGCCGCCGCCGCTGCGACCACCCTGGTTGCGCGGCTGCGTAGCGTTGAGGGAGGTGGAGGAGGAGGACTGAGGGGTGGTAAGGTTGACAACGGGGGTGCGGAGCTTGACCTCCGTGTCAATGATCCACTGGACCACGTCGTCGAGGCCGGCCATGGGGTTGGCCTCAGTGAAGGCATGGAGGCGGGACTCGTAGTCCGGGGTGAGGTTGTAGAGGAGGCGGTGGATTTGCAGGGGCTCCTCGCCTCATCCCACTTCTCCCCCATCGCCACCTCCTCATCTCTTGCACTGCTATTCTCGCACCGCTCCCCTTGCACCTCTCCCGCCTCATGACCCAATCAGAAGCCTCATCACGACCAACCTCTGCTCCGACTGGCGAAGCTTCCTTGCGCCTTCCCTCTCCGGCAGCACCTTTGCCAAGCGCCTCAAAACAGCTGAGGGGACAAGCAGGGGTGAGGCAGGAGGAGCAGACGGGGTGGCTGATGAAGGGGAGAGCGTTGAGGGGGCATGCAGGGACGAAGGCGTGGGAGGGGGTTCCAGGGAGTGTGGTGCTGGCAGGGATGTAACTGTGATGACGCAGGATGGTGATGAGCCTGGCAATGCTGCTCCTGCTGCCACTGCTTCCGCTGCTGCTACTGATTCCCAAGAATGCCACCATCCCAAAGAGTCTGGCGAACGTATGGCTGCCTGTGCCACGTGTCAGCAGGCCATAGGCCAAGCATGCCAGCACATGGGGGACGCGCTGGGAAATGCGTCGCTCGTGGTGACGGCTGATGGGTGCTTCCTGCTGCTGCAGCGCGGCACGGCTGTGGGCGAATTCCCAAACTGCCCAGTTTTCCCTGGAGGACACCCGGAGGTAACAACATCTATCCACCCCTCATTCCCTCGCCCCTCATTCCCAACCCTCTTGCTATTCTCTCCGCACCCCTTGTTTTCCCTGAGTTTTCCCAACCTTTCTTACCCCCCTTTCTCTTCTCCCTCCTCTCTCTTTACATTCTTCCCCTAATTTCTCTTTTCCCTCCTCTCTCTTTACATTCTTCCCCTAATTTCTCTTTTCCCTCCTCTCTCTTTACATTCTCCCCCTACTTTCTCTTCTCCCTCCTCTCTCATCACTAGACATTCTCCTCTTCTCTCTCTATCCCTCCCATCACGCACACCACTGCAGCCATCAGAGGCAGGGATCTCTGACACACCACAATCTCCCCCCGCCCAACACCACCCTACTGACCCACAATCCTCCACCACCCCTGCCTCTCCTCCACTCTCTCCTACCGACTCCCCCTCCTCATCGCCCTCCCTTCTCAACGCCTCGATCGCACATGAGATGTTTGAAGGCATGAAGCGAGAGGTAGAAGAGGAGACTGGCGCCCCTGCCGACTCCCTTGTAAGCTCTCCTCCCCACACTCCTCACCCTCCCCTCACGCTCTCTCTTTCACTCTCTCAATCGCTCGCTCCTTCCCCTTTTGCGCCTGCTTCTCCCTCCTCATCGCCCTGTCTTCTCAACGCCACCATCGCGCATGAGATGTTTGAAGGCATGAAGGGAGAGGTGGAGGAGGAGACAGGCGCGCCTGCTAACTCCTTGGTGAGATTTCCTCCTCATACTCACTCTCACCTTCTCTCGTCTGCCACTTCGTCTTTTCTCCGTAACACATGCTCCTCACCCCACTGCGTATTCCCATACACTTGGCTCTTCATCTCCCACACCTTGTCTTCCCCCTCCTCTTGTTAGAACTCCTATGTTCTAGCATGCTAACACTTATGACTGTACACCAATTGTGGTGTACAGTTGGGTTGGGACTACACCCAACTTTGGGTGTAGTCTTGCATTTTGGGGTGCCAATCCAACCCAATTGTGGTGGAGCCCCCAAATGCAACCCTATGGGCCATAGGGTACCCTAGATATGAGCACGAACCGAACTCAAACATGTTTGAGCAAACCTTTTCGAACCTTGCATGTTGGTCGAACCGAACCGAACAGGTTTGCTCGAACTTTTTTCAGAATTTTAAGGTTTGAGGTTTGAGTATACAATGGCGAACCCTAAAGGTTTGCTCAAACCTTTGAAGGTTTGAGCGAACTCGAACCTTTTAAGGTTTGAGGGTTAAAATGATGCACAAGTTACACTACAACACATGCATGTCTAATGGTTTATGGACAGCATCATGTTCTGAAAAAAGAAGCAAATGAGGAGGTAAAAATCAGTCACGACACTCCAATCAAGAAAAGTATACGGAAACTTCAAACATGAGATGGCACCACCCATCCACACGACCCCACCCTAGCCCTGGACCTCTCCCACACCCGCTGCATATGTCGCCTCCCCCTCTCCCTCCTCCTCCCCCTCCTCCTCCTCCTCCTCCTCCTCCTCCTCCTCCTCCTCCTCCTCCTCCTCCTCGCATTCCTCCTCTCCCTCGAGCCCTAAGTCCGCTGCTGCTGCAGCACGGGCAGAATTTGCCCCATCGCCGATACGACCACCAGGGTGCGTGTCGTACCAAGACCTCAGAGTCATGCACGGCACACGCTCGGTGTTCAGGCGTGTGCGCTGGAAGGTGATCAAGTTCTCCTCCTCCTCCTCCTCCCCCTCCCCCTCCCCGTCCCCCTCCTCCTCCTCCTCGTCCTCATCCTCCTCCGCATCACCCTCGTCATCCCCTACCGCAGCCCCCTCCACACGGGAATTAGAGCGCACTCCCCGCAGCTCCGTTCCCACCCTGAAGGTGCGAACCGACCCAGGGAGTCCCAATGAATCTTCCCCAACCCTGGCCAGTGGACCAGGCGTGTGAGAATCGTGCCGCCCACGGTCGGTCACCCCCTCTTGGTGCTCCCTGACAGCGCCGTTGCGGGGCTGGCCATAACTCGACATGGTAGCTGTTCCAACCCTCCTTTAAAAACGGTATGCTGGGCCCTTAACTTAAAAAACGGAATGACTGCACTCTGTGGTAAAAAATTAAAAAACTGTGAGCTAACCCTATTCTCTGGAAAATAAATAGGCATCACTAATCTGTCAAACATAACGAGTTAACGTTTGACACATCTAGTATGGTAGTGGGGAACCATGGGTGAGCAAGAGTTGATCTAGATCTAGATTTACTCTGCTCTGCTACGAGTCAAGGGTTGGCAGCCTTCAAATGGCAGCCAACCTACGACTTTCCCGTTTTTGACGGGAAAGTCGACATGGGTCTTTTCTGGCGGGAATCAAATTTGAACCCCTCACGGTTCGAATTTCACCCTTTCGAACTTCGAACCTGTTCGGTTCGAGGTTTGAATCTCGAACCAAAAAAGTTCGCGCGAACTTCAGCAAGGTTTGCGCAAACCTTTTTGGCAGGAAAAAAAGTTCGGTTCGTTGCTCATATCTAGGGTACCCCACTTCACAAAGTGAGACCAACCCAACCCATTGGGCCATAGGTTAACCCCACTTCCCCAAGTGTGGTCAACCCAACCCAATGGGCCATAGGTTGGCCCACTCCCCCAATCCCACCTCTCTCCTTTTCCCTTCCAACCTTCTCTTCCAAACCTATGTATGCTTGTTCTTCTCTCTAATGAAACTAATCATTTTTTTTCAATTCTTCACATGGTATAGAGCAAAGTCCTTCCTAAGGCAACCTCCTCCCCCTCCAGTTTTTTTTTCCAAGGGCCCACCATCCGCTTCCCTAACGACATGAACCTGCAGTCGCCCCCGTCCCCCTCCCCCTTCCCATCTCGGCGCTTTCCCGCCGCGGCCTTTCAGCCGCCGCCCGTGCCCTTCCGCCACGGCCTCCCTTCCTTCGCCATTTCCCTCACTACGGATTTCGCCGCCAGCGCCTTCCCGCTTGCGGATTTCACCGTCGTGACTGCTACGTAGGCTTGAGCAAGGTGGCGAACACCTGTTCGGTTCGCCTCGAACGTGTTCGAGGCGAACCGAACAGTTTTTGTTTTTCAGCTTAAATCGTTCGCCCGAACGTGTTCGATGTTCGCCCGAACACGTTCGTGTTCGTGGCGCTGCTGCAGAACGCCCCGTGTCGAACACGAACGTGTTCGAGGTTCGCCCGAACATGCCTCCACAGGCGAACAGCGAACACCTGTTTTTGGCTAAACTGTTCGCCGAACCAAACAGTGTTCGGTTCGGCAAAAGGGCGTGTTCGAGAAGGGGCGAACACGAACATGTTCGTGTTCGCCCTTTGCTCATCCCTACTGCTACGTCGCCACCCTCTAATTTCGCCGCCGCGACCCTTCCGTCGCCGCCTGCCCTCCCGGCGGCCGCGACCCTTCCGTCGCAGCCTGGCCCTCCTTGCCGCCGCGACCTGCTTCGTCGCCGCCTGCCCTCCCAGCCGCCGCGACCTCTCCCGTCGTCGCCTGCCCTCTTCCGCCGTGCGACCTTTCGTCGCCGGCTGCCTGTCCCGCCGCCGCGACCTCTTCGTCGCTGGCCGCCTGTCCCGCCGCCGCGACCTCTCGTCGCCGCCTGCCCATTCCCTCCCCGCGGCTACTTTTTCGCCGCCTCCGGTTCCCGTCGCCGCGACTGCAAGTCGTCGCCTGCACATACCGCCGCCGCGATTTCCGCCAGTTCCGCCGCAATTCCCGTCGCCGCAACTGCGCCCCCGTCGCCCGCGATTTCCGCGGCCGCGACCACCTCGTCGCCGCCTGCTCACCCCGTCCTCGCGACCCTGTCGCCCCCCCCCCCCCCCTGCGCATTCCGCCGCCACTCCACTCTCTCCCTCCTCCTCTCCTTCCCCCCTCTCCTCGCAGCAGCGGCAGCAACCGCGGCGGCCGCAGCGGCAGCAGCAGCAGCAGCAGCAGCAGCGGCATCAGCGGCAGCAGCGGCAGCAGCGACATCCGCGGCAGCAGCGGCAACAGCGGCAGCTGCACCCGTGCCTGCATTCTCCTCCCCCTCCCCCTCTCCCCCTCTCCCTCCTCCTCTCCCTCTTCTCTCTCCTCGCAGCAGCGGCAGCAGCTACAGCAGCAGCAGCAGCAGCGGCAGCAGCTACAGCAGCGGCAGCAGCGGCAGCAGCGGCAGCAGCAGCAGCAGCGGCATCCCCGGCAGCAGCGGCAGCAGCGGCAGCAGCGACATTAGCGGCAGCAGCGGCAGCCTTGCCAGCCGCACCCGTGCCTGCATTCTCCTCCCTCTCCCCCTCTCCCCCTCTCCCTCCTCCTCTCCCTCTCCTCTCTCCTCGCAGCAGCGGCAGCAGCAGCAACAGCGGCAGCAGCAGCAACAGCGGCAGCAGCAGCAGCAGCGGCATCCCCGGCAGCAGCGGTAGCAGCAACACCAGCGGCAGCAGCGGCAGCCGTGCCAGCCGCACCCGTGACTGCACCCTCCTTCCCCTCCCCCTCTCCCCCTGTCCCTCCTCCTCTCCCTCTCCCCTCTCCTCGCAACAACGGCAGCAACAGCAGCAGCGACAGCAGCGGCAGCCGCAGCAGCAGCGGCAGCAGCGGCATCAACAGCAGCAGCGGCAGCAGCGGCAGCAGCTCCATCAGCAGCAGCAGTGGCAGCAGCGGCAACAGCAGAAGCCACAACAGCCGGAGGGGTCCAGCAGCAGCAGCAGCCGGCGGAGTGCCCCAGCTCCAGCAGCAGCGCCAGAGCGGGGAGGACGTGGTCATGTCGGTGCATGCGGTTACCAGCTACGTGGTCAACTACATTGGGCAGCTGTTGGACAGCAGCAGCAGACGAACCAGCAGCAGCAGCTGCATCCTCCCTTCCCCCTCTCCCTCCTCCTCTCCCTCTCCCCCCCCCTCCCCCCAGCAGCAGCAGCTGCACCCTCCCTTCCCCCTCCCCCTCCTCCTCTCCCTCTCCCCCAACCCCCTTCCCCCCCCCCCTCCCCTCCTCCTGCAGAAGCAGCGGCACCAGCGGCAGCAGCAGCTGCACCCTCCCTTCCCCCTCTCCCTCCTCCTCTCCCTCTCCCCCCCCCTCCTCAGCAGCAGCAGCAGCCGAACCAGCAGCAGCAGCAGCCGAACCAGCAGCAGCAGCAGCAGCAGGAGGAGGTGCGCAACGGCAGCAGCGGCAGCGGCAGAAAGAGTGCAGCGGCAGCAGCAGCAACAGCGGGAGGAGTGCAGCGGCAGCAGCAGCAGGAGGAGGAGTGCAGCAGCAGTAGCAGCAGCAACCCCCCCTTGGCCGCCGCGGGTCCACCCGCCGTCGCCTTACCCTTGACCGCCGCGGGTCCACCCGCCATCGCCCATCATGGCTGCTACCCCCCCTGCCCCTCCCTCCCCTCCTCGCTGAACCAGTGTTACCCCTCGCCCCTCCCTCATGCACATTTCGACCCTCCCCTCCTTCCTCCCTGCTCACCTCCGCCTACTCACCCCCTCCCCCCCTCCCCAGCTGCAGCGTTTTCGGCAGCTCCAGCAGCAGCAGCAGCAGCAACCACAGTTTCCCCAGCAGCAGCCGCAGCGGCAGCAGTGCTTCCAGCAGCACCAGCAGCCACAGTTTCTCCAGCCGCAGCAGCCACAGCTGCAGCAGTGCTTCCAGCAGCAGCAGCAACCACAGTTTCCCCAGCAGCAGCCGCAGCGACAGCAGTGCTTCCAGCAGCAGCAGCAGCAGCCACAGCTGCAGCCGTGCTTCCAGCAGCAGCAGCGACCACAGTTTCCCCAGCGGCAGCAGTGCCTCCAGCAGCAGCAGCGGCCACAGTTTCTCCAACCGCAGCAGCCACAGCAGCAACAGTCCTTCCAGCAGCAGCAGCAGCCACAATTTCTCCAGCAGCAACCGCAGCGACAGCAGTGCTTCCAGCAGCAGCACCTGCCACTGTATCCCCCTTCTCTCCATGAGACGTCTCTCCAGTACTCTGCGTCACCTCCCTCTCCTTCCTCCCGCACCCTGGACTTCGTCCTTGACAGTGGAGCCACCGAAACTGCACTCAAAGACGCTGGCACCCTCACTCCCCTTCCACTTCCCACCCAGGTTCATGGTGCCGACTCCAGTTTTTCCATCCCCCGCACTCACCTCTCCACCCTTCCTTGCACCGCTTTCCCATCTGGTACAGTCACAGGTCTCCACATCCCCACCCTTCGCAATAACCTCCTCTCCCACCGTGAGCACCAAGGCGTTGATATTACCGCCATTTATCCTGGATTTGCTTCCTACTGTGATCGCTACCACACCGCCTCTGGTCGCTTCCTCCTGCGCATTCCCCTTTGCCCTCGCACTCGCCTTTACACGCTCCGCACACCCCGTCCCTCAATCTGTCACGTCACCACCCGTGCCGGTACTTCCACCGGTCCCCTTCCCCCTCCCCTTCCCCCTCCCCCTCCCCCCCCTGTATCCTCCTTCTCTACTCCATCCCCCTCCTCCCCCCCCACCTCTTCCTGTCAGAAGAATGAACGAGAATGAATGAACTATGAAACAGTTGGGTACAAGTACTAACCCTAATTAAGTTGTACCCCTTATGGGCTACCCCATTATAGCCTACACAATTGTAAGCAATATAACATTCTGACACACCCCCATAGGCAAAGTGGGGGAAAACAAGCGGTCACAAGACCAGTCAAGAAAAACAAAGCAAACTCAAGGTGGATCACAAAGTCACCACACAGTCCGAGCACAAGCAAAGGGCCACAAAGCCTGTTCACATGCGAAGTTATATAAAAAAGAAAAAAAAATACAGTGATCATACCCTAGCAAGTGTAAGCATGCAGGCATATATATAGATCACAGTACAAGCAAAGCCAAGCAATAAGCAAGTGAGGCAAAACAGGCACAAAGCCAGTAGAGAAGCGCTGATGATCACCAGGCGGAACTGCCTTGGTGAATATATCAGCAGTGTTGGCCCTAGTGGCCGCGTACGCAAGACGAAGCTGACCACGCTGCTGCAACTCTCGAGCAAGGAAGTATCGCAGAGCGGTGTGCTTTGTTCTGTGCTCCAGTCTGTGCTCCTGACACAAGGCAATCATGGCCTTGTT